TTAAATTGTCAATTCCAAACTAGCATCATTAAAACTAGTTGAGTTGAAATGTCTGCTTTCACCTATCACGGAACTCTGTTGGAACGTTGCTAATAAAAACAGACTCATAAACATTACACTTTTTTTGCAACAAACAATTATTTCATTATCATTTATGATACACTGACGGCAACTGGCCAGACGTCTAGTGCACGCTCCTTAATTACATAACTTATGTCAATAAATAATGTTTTAAGAAACATATTATTACTCCTAGACCAGTAAAAGCGATCTAGGTATAATATAAAATATTTACTTGGCTAATTCAAAACGTTAAAGTTTTATTTTAATTACTTAATTAGAAGCTTAAACGTGCTTATCTTCGAGAATAAAAAATATTTTATTGCTCTGAACGACCATGACTTTTTCACCAGTATATTAAACGTCAGGAGAGAAGAAAATAAACTATAAAGAAGCAGAGTCAAATTAAGCTATGTAGAAGCTTATAGACAGTGAAAATGTTAATCAACCCATTTCGCCCCGTAGGTAGCCAGAGCCGGCTACGGGAAAGGCAAGAAAGGCCTCATAGTTTCCTTTGGGATTTAGTTTTACTATCCTGTTTTCGCCAGACTTGAAATATCTAGATCTATGACGCATATGACTAGTGACTGACATAGCCCAACGGATTTGTAAGCTGAAGTGGCAATGGGCTGGCCATATAGCTCGAAGAACCGATAACTGATGGGGAAGAAAGGTTCTCGAGTGGCAGCCTCGTACCGGTAGGCGTAGTGTAGGGCGACCACCCACTAGATGGAGTGACGACCTGGTAAGACATTCAGGAAGTCGATGGATGCAGGTGGCTCAGGACCGTGCTTTGTGGCATTACTTGGGGGAGGCCTATGTTCAGCAGTGGACTTGTGAAGGGCTGTAATGATGAAGATGATGATGATACGACGAGCACTGGCACTGCGATCGGCAATGCGCCTGCCAAGTGTGGCGCTAGCGGCATCTATTAAATCGCCCTCAGATCACAGAAACTATAGTTGTTTCTGTTGTTTATATGATCTGAGTCATCGCCCCTAGAACGACAGCATCAGCTTCTCTAGCATGGATTTTTACGGGCTGGTTAATGGAAAAATTGGAAGAAGAAGAATGAACAGTTGGTAGTGCACTATTACTTAGGATTGATTTTGAAGGCAAATTTGAATAAAACTTTTAAAATTTTAATTTTTATAATCAATCATTATCTCTATTAGATTCTAAAGGAGTTTCTTGTATAACAGTGTTATTAAAATTCAGAACCTTGTTATGTTCGAAAATGTAGTGACCACTCTTCATAAATCTCCTTTTATAAGAGAAGGCCCGTAAGTAGGAAGGTTTTAACAGCTACAGATACTGCTAGACACGGAGTACCTTTCATTTCGAGATAATTACGATGCCGGGAAGAAACCGGCACGTCGTGATTTCACATAAATATCTAGGTATTTATTTAGTAACTAATATTATTACCTCATAAAATTGTTGATTATAATTACAGTAGTAAACAGGTAATGAGTTCGTTTAAATTACATCACGTGCTAGATAGATAAATTAATATGTCCATGACATGTGAAGTCCGCCAACCTGTTTCAGTTCGCGGCAAATACAATGCATAATTGTAACTAGCCCCAAAAGTCCACAGCTGGCATGTAAAGATTTTCCCTTTGTAGGGTTGATAGCCCTAATTGTCATATTCCATGTCATACTAAAAAGAATTTAATAATAATTGTATCTTCAGCATAGCATACCAGAGCCAGGCCTGCCACTAAAAGCACTATTTTAAGATTATATAAGTTATTTATGTTAACAATGTTCGTATAAAAAAACGTCAAAAACAATTTCATTTATCATTCATATTTATTTTTATATGAAAGCCATGTGATTTAGAGTTTTGAGTAACTGACTATGTATTCCATTCAGATCGTTGTTTCAAATTTTATATATTTTGCTTATTTTTCTTTCCTTTTTTAGTTTTAATTAGGTTCGATATTATGTATGATGGACTATAATTTGTTAAGACTGAAGCTGTATGGTTGCGTACGAGTACATTTGTCCAGATATTTACTTAAAAGGATAGAAAATTACCTAATTACATGCCATTGCTAACAGTGGTGTAAATCGGATTGTTTTTTTAAACGTGCAAGTTCCCACACAATGTTTCCCTTAAGCGCCGAGCATGTGATAAATGGTACATTTATCTTTAACAAGAAGTATCTTTAAAAAGTGGTAGAAACACCGGTTAGCTGCTTAGAAAACCAACATACAAGCTTGCGTTACAAGGCGCTCTTGTGCCCAAATAAGGCGTTGTAACACATTCAAGTAAACGTAGCTAAGTTCAAGCCCCGTTAGCAATGGCTTATTGTATAAACTTTAAACTTGCATGTTTACTCTATAGTAGTACACGTATAGTGGCAGCGTAAGAATAACCACTAGTCCGCTATCCCATGTCATACCGTGGGTGTCGTAAGAGGCGACAGAATATAAGTATATAGTGGAAAGTAAATCAGGACATGGGCTGCAGCCTTTTTCTAATAATGACTAATAATAAAAAAACTGCGGTTACCAACCCGTTAACCAATCGTGTTTTTTTAAAGGACCGGGTAACAAACGAGCACACAGTCCACCTGATTGTAAGTGGTTGCCGTGGCCCATAAACATCTACAACTATCCTCGATTACGAATCAAAATGCAGATGCGTTGTCACCCGTGAGGACTAAGATGGAATGCCTCGTTTCCGGTAAAAAGGGTCTCCGGTTCTCTACACTCACCATACGAAACACAGCAGCATTAAGCTACTATTTGACGCTGGTATTCTGTGAGAGCGTGGTCCTTCCCCGGTCGAGCCGACCCATTTGTGCTACAACTTTACTACTAATATATTAACTATTAATTTAAGGTAATTTTGGCAAATATTACCAAGAGGCAATCTATGATCAGCAGTGAACTTTTATAGGCTGTAACAGATACTCTATTTGATCGCACAAGTTAGTTTAGCCAGTCAGGATAGGAAAGCCTTTAACATCGGTAAAAGTACATAGCCATAAACGGGCATAATTTTTCACATTCAATAAAATAAAAATAAACTAATAATTAAAGTGGCAATGGACCGGCCATTATATTATGTAGCTGTAGCCCACACGGGGCCTGTGCCCAGGGCCCCAATTGTCACGGGGGCCCCCATTAATGAAATATTATTTGATTTTTACCATTTAACTATAATAAATATAAGATCATAGCATAAAAATGTTTTTGTTCATTTTTTTTACTTTCCAACAGGGCCTCAAATTTTTATGTGCCCAAGGACCCCGGTGTGGCCTGACTGTATGTCAGGCCAGTCTATATGGACTGACTGACTCGTTGGTCTAGTGGTTGTAGTGGTGCCACTGCTGATCATGAGGTCCTGGTTTCAAATCCCGGGTCGAGTCAAAAAATCAATTATTGAGTTTTCCGTCAAGAAATTATCAATAACTGCCCGGAGTCAGGAAGTATGTCACTCAGTCAGTCTCACACGGTCAGGTGTCTCACCCCCGTGACTCGGAAAGCACGTAAAGCCATTGGTTCCTGCGCCTGATCTCTCTCCGGTCGTGTCGGTTTACCGTCCCATCGGATTATGAGAGTGAGGAAATAGAGAGTGCACCTGTGCTTGCGCCGTGCTTTGGCCGAAATTCGGTCTGGAGATATAGAGACTCGATTAAGAATCAAAACGCAGATGCGCTGTCACCCCTGAGGACTAAGATGGAATACCCCGTTTCCAGTAAAAAAGGGTGTCCGGATCTCTACACTCACCATACGAAACATAGCAGTATTAAGTTGCTATTTTACTCTGGAATTCTGTGAGAGTGTGGTCCTTCCCCGGTCGAGCCGACCCATTCGTTCTACAACCATAAAATAGCTGTAGTATGGGTCTACCACGTATATAATATGAACTGATGGCAACCTCGTACTGACAAGTGCAGTGTTGAGCGACTCCCCACAAGATGGATTGACGACATAATGAAACACGCATGTAGTCAATGGATACAGGTGCTGTCTATGGAAGGGGCCTATGTTTAGTAGTTGACTTGTGATAGGCTGTAGTAATATTAATGGTTTTATAAATATAAGAAAACATATCGGTGATTTTCAAATTTTAGCATTAGGCAGAAGATTCATCTAATTATGTTGTACATAGAGCCGTGGTAGCTCAGATGGTTAACGCTCGCTGTAAATATAACAGAACGCGAGTAACCTGGGTTCGAACCCCGCCGGCACTAATGAAATTGTTAATTGCAATTTTAAGTGCTGATTTACCACGTGCTCGGCGGTGAAGGAAAACATCGTGAGGAAACCTGCATGTCTGAAAAATTAAAAAAAGAAAGATTTCAAAGATATGTGAAGTTCGCCAACACGCATTGGGGCAGCGCGGCGGACACTTCCTTGCCCTAAAACCCCCTCAGAAATGAGGGGAGGCCTGTGCCCAGCAGTGGGACGTATATAGGCTGTAACTTTACTTTACTTTACTTTATGTTATACATAGGTGAATTCCTCACGCTGGTGATGGCACTATACTTAAGGCCCAGTTTACATTTTGAGAAGTGACAAGCGCGAGTGGCAAGTGCAACTGACAAATGACAAGTGCTTAGTGCGTATTTTATCACTTATCACTTGTCACTTCCTGTTCACACACACTAAGCACTTGTCATTTGTCAGTTGCCCTTGCCACTTGCACTTGTCACTTTTAAAAATGCAAACCGGGTCTAACAATCCACTGGCCTCGAGATAAGAGCACAAACAATTTATCAACTGCATTTAGCACATTCTTGGAAAGATCTTTTCACAGGATAGTGTAAAAATTTGATGAGGAGTAGTAAGAATTGACGGACGCTAATGCAATGTAATACAATCGCTCTGGCAATGCAATGCAACGCAGCATTAGTACATTAATCACAAAAGGAACATACGCAATAATACACAAAAGATATAGTTAATTGACCAATACTAACTCGTTAACCAATCCAGTAGATGCATATCTGTCGGGTCGACTCTTGCGGTAGACCTGGACGATCTCGGTAGGAGGCCGGTAAGGTCTCCTAGCCGGGGTGCGGAGCACAGCCTCGAGCGCCGCTCTTTCAGCTATAGAGACTACGGTTGCGCCCCCTGGCATCGTTTCGGCGAACACCGGCCCGTACCGCCTGAACATATCTGCGTGCAAATCTCTCATTGTGACGGCGAGGGTGCTGGTAATTTATATTTGAATAGCGCCATCTCGTCTTATTTGAATTTCAATTACTTTTTTTTAAATGGAAGCAATCTTTTACGATAAATTAGAAAACTGCAACAGGGTTAGAGTTACATTGTGTTACGTTACTAAATTTATTGAGAAAAAATGGATTCTTATATTTACGCGAACACTACATATTGAAATAATACTAATAGTAGTAAGTTTTACGGATTTTATCGCGTATATTTAACTATAAATACCCGACGTTTCGAGCGCCTTACAGCACCCATGGTCATGGGGGGGACTGAGATGTTCAACGTCCAGATATCATAGTTAACAGCGGTTACCATAGATTAAAATTTAACTCTTGTAGATCGGAACAAAAGTTAAATTTTAATCTTTAATATACGCGATAAAATCCGTAAAAACTAGTATTATTTCAAAAAATGAATTATAAAATGAGTAGCTCTTGAGTATTAGTATTAGTAGCGAAATGGATATCTGCGAATGCATTTGTGAGATACTAAAATATCTTACCTTCGTAAGCCTCGTGTAGTTTATTCATTTTGTATCGACTCCAAAACAGCCACCTAGTGCCGAGGAGTGGTAAGGCAGGTGGACCAGGGAGGCGCGTCGGGAGCTTGGTGTCTGGTGAGCGCGCCAACAACGCTGTGGCCGCCATTAGAACCGCTACCACAACCAAAACCAAGGTAGGAACACCCGACCAGTCCACGAGAGGCGGAGGTGTACTCTGTTAACCAAAAAAATATATGTTTTAATACAATTAAATAAAAGCGTTCATACTTTCGGACATACCCTTTCTCCCATTACTGAGGAGGGTTATAAAGTAGAAATTGTACGTGGTATAGTCACGTTGCAAGCTTATTATGGAGTATTAGTCTTAATAAATGAGTCATCTCGATGAGGGAAAAACTACGTTTCTGCATAATACGTAAATAAATTACAGCCTATATACGTCCCACTGCTGGGCACAGGCCTCCCCTAATTTCTAAGAGGGTTTTAGGGCAAGGAAGTGTCCGCCGCGCTGCCCCAATGCGTGTTGGCGAACTTCACGTCTTCGAAATGTTTTTTTTTATTGCTCAGACATTGCATTTTCGGTTTTAGTTTAGGTTTGCATTGCAGGTTTCCTCACGATGTTTTCCTTCACCGCCGAGCACGCGGTAAATCAGTACTTAAAATTGCAATTAACAATTTCATTGGTACCGGCGGGGATCGAACCCGGGTTACTCGCGTTCTGTTATATTTACATACGTGCGTTTACCAGTGCGTGTTGCCAGTGATGACTTACGGATCTGAGACGTGGTCCTTCACTGCTGGCCGTATGAGGACGCTTAAGGTCGCTCAGCGAGCTATGGAGAGGGCTATGCTTGGAGTTTCTCTGCGTGATAGACTCAGAAATGAGGATATCCGCAGTAAAACCAGAGTGATCGACATAGCCCAACGGATTAGTAAGCTGAAGTGGCAATGGGCCGGCCATATAGCTCGAAGAACCGATAACCGATGGGGAAGAAAGGTTCTCGAGTGGCAGCCTCGTACCGGTAGGCGTAGTGTAGGGCGACCCCCCACTAGATGGAGTGACGACCTGGTAAGACATGCAGGAAGTCGATGGATGCAGGTGGCTCAGGACCGTGCTTTGTGGCATTACTTGGGGGAGGCCTATGTTCAGCAGTGGACTTGTGAAGGGCTGTAATGATGATGATGATGATGTTAACCATCTGAGCTACCACGGCTACATAATACGTATTATCGTAAAATAGCAGCATAATACTGCTGTGTTTTATTGGGTTTCTAAAACCGGGAACCTTTTTTAATAGTAACAAGGCATCAGATCTCATAGCCCTAATAAGTGGCCACGCATCTGCTTGTATTTTTTTTATAAAATAAGGGTGATAAACGAGCACAGTCTACCTGATGGTAAATGGATATTGTGGCCTATAGACATTTACATTTATCCTCGACTAAGAATCAAAACGCAGAGGCGTTGTCACCGCTGAGGACTTAGATGGAATGCCTCGTTTCCAGTAAAAAATGGTCTCCGGTTCTCTACACTCACCATACGAAACACAGCAGTATTAAGCTGCTATTTTACGCTCTTCTGTGTGAGCGTGGTCCTTCCCCGGTCGAGCCGACCCATTCGTGCTACAATCATAATATAGCTGCAGCGCGGCTTTACCACGTATAAAATGTAGTTGTCTATAGCCAAAGATTTCACTTATTGTCAGGTGCTCAGGAAGTGACTGTGACATGACGGGACTTAATGACATCTTAAAATTGAGTAGCATATGAGTATTTGGGCATTACTTTAATAAAAAAAGAAGAGTCTCTTTTGAATCGAAAAAAAAGGAGGAGGTACACAAGTCAACGCGTATATTTTTTTTCTTCCATGCTAAGAAAATTGAAAATTTTCAAAAATAGGGAAGTTAATTTCGAAAATCGAGTTTTCATCAGATCTCGTGATCCCAGGAAGCTATTCTGACTAATTTCACATGGACGTCCGTATGGATGTATGTATGTGTGTGTGTAAGTATGCAAACCTTTCATAGGTTTTGAATGTCTTGATCGGATCTTGATGCGGTTTGCGGCGTTCTAAAGATCTCAATGTGGAATAGATTTGGTGATAATATGAAGTGATTCGGACGAGTAGATATTGAAAAATCTCAAAAATAAATGTAATTTTGAAAAACTGTATTTTTTCGGAATAACTTTTAAACGGCTTTATCTATCGATTTCTAAAATTAAAATATCAGCTCATACCATCGATTGCCGTTTGCACAATAAAAATCGGTTAATTCGTTCATGAGATATCGAAGGAGAAACAATTTGACAAAAACGTTTTTTTAACATAACTTCGAGATTTCGCAACGTAATTTGGTGAAATTTGGAGCGCTTTGAATTTAAATTAGCGGGAAATTCCAGGGATGGCCTGCGGGGTCAACTAATCTTTTTTATAGAAGAGGGGGCAAACGAGCATACGGCTCACCTGGTGGTAATTGACTACCGCCGCCCATGATCAACTGCAACACCAGGAGAATTGCAGACGCGTTGCTGGCCTTTTTAAAAGGAGTAGGATCATTTCTTGAGGGTCCCTAGGGTTTGTTTTTGTTAATTTTGGTTCAACGTTATATAATGTCACTAGCAGGCCCGGCTGACGTTATTCTGCTATTTCTGGATAAATAAATAAGTCATTTTGGTTCATAAATATAGAATTTGTTAATAACTTGACTACATCATCACCTGTTGGATCCGTGCATAGCTGAACTATCGTGTCTACGAGTACAAAACAAATAAATTTTGTTACATGACTTTATTCAGCAAGTCGTTCACAGGATCACAGGTTACACGATACTATAAAGATTTAAACGCGTCGTAGGTTTCATTTTGAAGTTATCAGCCACAGAGGTGTTAAAGGGGAATACAGTCAAACCTGGTTAGACGGGATCTCAAGGGACCTAGATTTTTATCACTCTTGGAAGGCTTTTCACTTACCCACTTTCCCAAATAAGCAAGTTAATATGACAGTTGTGTTATTTATAGAAGGTCCCACTGTGACATGTTGAAAAATACCATTTATAATATAAAGAGATAGAAATGCTTATAAAAGAAATGAAATTTTTTTAAACAAAGTGTACACTTTATTACTATATTGCAAACAAGCGTTTTATATTTTATCTAAACCTGATAAATTGTCTCACTGGGCTATTGAGCTACGAAGTCCCAATTATAGAGGTAAATATCGAAGAAATCTATGAAATCTAATCTCAGTTAACAAGGTTAGAAAATTCCCAGTAACAGAGGTATTTCAATGCAAAAGCGTCGGGACCCAATATAATTATACTTAACAGGGATTTTTCACATATACAAGGGCCACTTAACCAGGTTTCACTGTATTATGTCAACTAAGTTCACCCTAATTGGCGTAATAGGCCCGAAACCAACTGATGTCGAAAAATCCAAAAGCTCTAGAACAAAATTCTACGGACTTGTGATGAGCGGCGGCGTCATCAAGCATCATCAAAGCCAGGGTCTACCCGCAGATCTCCTTAATGAGTTCGTCAGCTTGGGCAAATCTTCCAACAAATGTTTGCTAGTTGACATATATTCGGAAAGGTCTTCACATCTTGTACAACAATGGAAATGTTCATGATGTAATAATAAATAATGTTAGTTTTTGATTCACAAGCAAGAATGTGTAATGCATAATCTGGGGGCACGATGGTACCATACTTTTCTCGAAGCAGTTCAGACCATTTTCGACGCCCCTATAACTTCGTTGTGGATAAAACTAGAAGCATGAATTTTCAGTAACCAAGCTGGCATTGTATAAACACATATATATTATATAAACACATATATTTCAAATTTCATTCAATTTGAACCATTAATTTAGGAATTACAAGTCAAAGTTTCTTCGTTTTGTCACTCACTGACTGACTGTCCTTCTGTTTTAAATTATTACGTAATTAGCCAAACTAACTACATCTTAAAGTGACCATATCAATGTTAAAATTCTTTTATATTTAAAAAATAGATTAACTTTGCAATCGCACTAAACAAGCTAATTACTTGTGATATATAAGATACATTGTGTTTTCATGCGATGGCCAAGTCAATCTATTTATTTAAAACGTAAAAGATTTTTAATATTGATATAGTCACTATAAGATGTTGTTAGTTTAATTAATTCCGTAATAACATAAACAAATTAAGTTCGCTTATTACGTAATAACTAAAGGATAGGGACTGAATAAATCAACCGACTTGATATTACATGGATGTCACCACTTTTTACGTTAGATGAACTGGATTGCGAGACTTGGTTTTTTTACAACTTATGTTTTTGATGGCATAGTTTATTTTTGACTTTTTTAGTTTTTGAGTTTAACAATTACCTACAGTACTTTTTATTAGTGTTAGAATAATTTACGTTTCCTATGTTACACGTGGATTTATATATTTTATTAGTTATGATTTATTCCAGATATATAATTTATTATATATAAAACCGTGGTTACGAACAATCTGAATTCGATCCTCGCCGCCACCCATGACATTGTTAAATCAAACACGTATGATGTAGCAAATCAACACTTATTTTAAGTGTTAACACGTTAACAAGTTTAAGTGTTGAATTGCTACACGCTACGTGGTGGTAAACAAAATCATCGTTAGGAAACCAGCGTTTTGATGAAGTTTGTCACCATTCCCAAGAGCTCGAATTTACGTGGTAGAGCCACGCTGCAGCATTATTATGGTCTTCTCGAGCGGGATAGGACCACGATCTCGCAAAATACCATCTTGAAATAGCACATTAATGCTACTGTTTTTCGTATGGTGAGTGTAGAGACCGGTTCCCTACCTCATTCTTTTTTCTAATAACCTAGTCATTCCATTTTAGTCCTCAAAAATGACAACGCATCTGCATTTTGATGCTTAGTCGAAGATCCTTATGCCGCCTATGCGCTACAGTACCCATTGCCGTCAGATGGACTGTGTGCTCGTGTGTCACCATTATAAAAGTAGCACGACAAACTAACTGCTCAATAACTCTCGCCGAAATAAGAGGAAACATGCCCAGCACTGGGAAGCATATTGCAACTTTATTTTTGAACTACTTTACTATAATTGATAGAATCAGGCGTTACTTTGTGGAAATCCATTATAATAAAAAATAAAAATATAAATTTCTTTGCAACCTTCCGCTAAATAACAATATTTAGCGGAAGGTTCCAA